TTCGGGTGAATTAAATCAGGACGAGGTCTTAGGAGGGTTCAGCCCTTGTAACAGCCTACGAACTTCCGTCTCCGCTACAATAAAGTCAGGTAGTCGTGAACCCTCAGGGATCCTGTAAAGCAGCTCAACGCCTGTCAAAGAGGTTTCCCTTAGAAACGCTGCCGCACATTGCCCACTAAGTACGCAGGCGTTATCATAGTCCGTATGCGCATGAGTACCGTCATCACGCAAAAGAGCGGGCGGTGTGTACAAAGGGCAGGGACGTAATCAGAGCAAGCTTTTGACTTGCGCTTACCAGGAATTCCTCGTTCACGGGGACTAATTGCAAGCCGCGATCCCTATCACGGCGGTGATTATTCAGTTTGCCCAACCCTCTCAGGCCAGATTTCCAAACTCGCTGAAACCGTCATTGTAGCGCACGTGTGGCCCCGGACTTTTAAGGGCATCACAGACCTGTTATTGCTCATTTTCATGCGACTGGCTCGCCGTTTGTCCTTTTAAGAAGTAAATACCTGCGCAGCACCCACCGGCAAACGACACCACCGCTTCGAAGGGCAATGAGCACCGTCAGTCGCAAGAGCACCCAGGACATGCTTACTATTTAGCAGGCCAAAGTCTCGTTCGTTATCGGAATTAACCAGACAAATCGCTCCAACAACTAAGAACGTCCATGCACCAACAAGCATTTAATCAAGAAAGAGCTTTCAATCTGTCAATGCTCACAAAATAGATTCGAACCGGTGACCTTATGATTGCAAGGCAGGCATGCAGAGCACTCGATCACCAGCCTTTAAATGTTTAAATTTTTGCATAAATTTATAGGATAGGTAAAAATCGTCACATCTAGACTCACTCAGACAACCGCCACACTCCCGTAAAGCCCTGCACGCGCGTTTCATCCTTTCGGGAATCGTCAGCAGTGCGCATTCTATCGGACCCTGGTAGGGCTCGAACCCGCAACTCGACTGTTGCCGGTTCGTGGTTGAGAGCACTGAGTGACGACCATTGAGTGACGACAAGACGGACAAACATTGTGCTCACCAACAACACGAAATGGGGTTAGACGGATATACTTATGTGTTAACGTGGATAATATGGCGAGTCCACAGATGCTTTTCACTTTTATGTAACTTCATTGAACAAACCTTATTCCCACAAACCATCCCACGGGAGCTGTCAAGCCTTGGCTTCTTTGTCCGTCATATACCATTGTTCCGTTCAATACACATTTAAAGCTACCGTTATGACACAGTACAGTTAACGCTGTAGTCTCATAAATCGGCGATTCACTTAGTTCTCGATCTATTATTTCTCACGTCGACCACCCTAGAGGTGTTGTCAAGCAACCACCTTTTACCCATAATAACTCATTGTTCACACAGTCGCTGCGGGCAACGCAGGTCACAACGGTTAATGACTTTCTCGCTTAGTGTAAACTAGGGACTGGTAATCGTTACCACTACGAAAATGGAGCGATTCCCTTTAATAGCATAATTATTACCATGTAAAACCAGCCAAAACAGATGGAGGAATCTCATGTATGTGGGGATCCATGCTGCAGAACGCAGAAGTTTTATGCACAACAGCTTACAATCCCAGAAGACATATCATTGTCGGTAAGCACTGATTTTCTAATTCGAACAAGTGATAAATGCTGTCTATATTTGCAGGTAAACAGGCAAACATGAACAAAACCTGTGCATCCAACAGACACCTAACTCCGTTGATCAGGCTCTTATAAAGTAACTGAAACGAATCAAAAGAAATACTTTTAGTCATGCGCAAAAATTGCCTTCGTGTTGATTCAGGATTTTGCACTTAACAGCAGGCTAAATCGTACGGTGTGGAAATCACAAAAAACAGTCGTTCTGACTATCATTTTGCCCAGTTGGCTACTAAAAACTACATGTAACGGCGACGGATCACTCCGTTACACCCGCTTACCCATATATAATTTGCAACGGTAGTAGTACCGACTAAATAACAAAAGGAATGCGTGCACCATTTTTCGTGTTCCATCTACACTGTTCAAATCACCGAGTAAAACGAACTGTTGTGAAAGGTTATGTAACACATGAGCTGATTATTCTTAGTGTAGGCTACCGCCATTCTTGCTCATATGATTCTAGACTCAAAAATAAAAGAAAAAACGAAAACTGGTGTTTGTATGAACGTTCTGTGCTCCGTAAACATCCAATTGTGATTACGGGTATGCACGCTACTCATTCGTGATTGTGATCAGATTAGGAATGGAATTCGACCGATAAATTCGTAGCACCCAAAGACTGATAATTTTTAATGCAAAAATCTGGCTCCATCTTGCTTCTCGTAGCATTCCCCCTGAAGCAAAAATATTTCAAGCACTGCAGTGTGCTATGAGAAGCATGCTCGTTGACCTATGATCCTGATAGTGTATACCAGCAGTGTGATTGACTTAGTAGGGACAACTTGCAGTTGCAAAGACTTCGGCGAATTCTCCGTTAATCTGAAACTCAAATTTCTATCGGTGTTTCGTATGGACGTGGCTTCGTAGCGGGGCCATCAGATTTGAGTTGCATTGAGTCGCAAGCAATTTAACTAATTGTTCCATTTCAAATAGTCCACTACTGATTGTCCTGCGACGTCAGATTTCAACCGTTTCGTTGGAATTGGAACACTAACTTCACCAGACCTGACATCTCAATGCTAGCTTTGGGATCAGCAGCGCATATGCAGTCAGCACAGTGGTAGGATTTAACGACTACGGGTCGTTTTGGGTTAGATGGACGGAGAGTACTCCGTGGAATATCGTAGCTAATATCGTTATCCACCTGTGTACATGTTGCGAAGGTCACAGACGCATTTAACCATGGGAGTACTACCATTGAAACGTCACCTGGAGAATTAAAGTACGCCTGTGAGCTAAGCACAAAAGCTGAGGTCATTTGTACATGTGCGCATCTGCGTACAATCAAAATTGATACATCCAACTATGGTAATAGCCGTGAACGGGTAAAATAGGCTGTAATGTGACATCTATTCGGGACACAAACGTAAACAGTCACCGCAAGTATAGACTTTATATTCCAAGTTTACTTCGTGTGAACCGAATGGCAGCATGCAACGCGAACGTCGGACCGTGGGATTGGTTTGAGTACGATGAAGAAAATATGAAGGAATTTGTGTGAACTGATTCGGTGAAGCATCTGCTAATGCAAAGCTAGTTGAGTGGGATAGTCACCAGTCAGCGAACTACTTACACTGCGATTTCGTAACAGTACCAACGTTTTAGTCTGTCATCTAACCGTATACTCAAATGTCATCGAGCTGTTGTGAGCTCTGTAGCTCGTACCAAAGGAAGATGTGGTCCGTAGAATTACCCACAGAATCCGGAATACTGGGCTGAGTTACATCGTTTTCATTTGTCTTGATAATACCACGATTAAATAGGCGGACCAGACAAATGAAACAAATGTTGGTCTTTCAGAATTTAATTCCATAAAAGCGTCATTTCAACCAGGACCCGATGGTATTCCTCCAACTGTCATCAAGTATGAAGGCAACAACATTTCACTGCTGATGTTAAACGTCTTCACGTTATCTTGAAACATTGGATACTTTCCTCCATAGTGGAAACATTCGATAATAGCATCAAAACACAAAGGTGTCTCCCGATCTGCAATGACGAATTCTCGCCCTATTAATCGTACTGTCGCAACCTCAAAGGCACTGGAGCGAATTGTCAAGAATGGTCTTCTTCAATTCTAAACAAGATTAGACCTGATAAACAACGCACAACACGGCTTCCTTACGAAGCCTTCCTGAGTAACATGTCAAATACAATTCTTCGACCACGTAACATCGGTTGCTGAGAGTGGCATGACAGTTATTGTCATTCAACTAGACATGCAAGAGGCCTTCGATGGTGTGCCACATAAACTTGTGCTGTCCGTCCTGCACTCTTACGGAGTCAGCAACCCAATGATAAGCTGATTTAAATCCTACCTAGAAGACCGGATACAGTACATAAAATTGGCCAACAACTCCTCAAAATAAATTACAAGCGGAAATGTCCAAGGCAGTATTCTTGGGCCACTACTCTTACTAATGAATGTAACGATGGAATGGAGCCTAAATGGCGACAGAATTTACACCAACTGCGGCTATCAGTACTCATAGCTTTTTTGGCTAGTGGAAAACTAAAACGCCAAAACAATCCGCATGTTAGTTACACTGGGCTCATTGAATCGTATGATGTGTGCAGGAAATACGCCGATACCCACTGCTAAATCACTCCGTCTACTGGGAGATCAGCGATTTGTATTCGTGCCGAACAACTGTTAATAAAAAGTGCATCTTAACAACCAAAGCGGCAAGTAGACAATCGTGTCAAACGGATGTGTACGCAGGGTACAGGAACGAAGTCAAAAATGAGGTTCTATTGACTTTATCCAGGCTATCGTCTGATGTATGGAATGATACCATATGCGAACAGCATTCGCGGTATACCGCTACTGCAAAGCGACGTTTCGTTACCGCACCAAAATCATCGGTTGTTTGTGGCCTAGGAAGACTGCGCAAAAGCAGGTACCCAGGCGGAATTGAACCGGTCACCTGTGGGTTAGAAACAAGACAGCTCAGCTAGTGGCGGACTAGCTGAAAGCAGGAAATCGAGGAAAAATCCCGTGATGAGAGACATGGGACTCAGTGAAGAGAGGCGAATGTGGGAAATGTCCCACCAACCATGATGGTTCGACGGTGAACGATAAATCGGCTACTGGTCAATAGTCTGAGCTGGAAGCACAGTACTTTGCACATCCATGGAAACAGCATCGGTCATCGACGAATGTGAAGTGAAAGTGACCTGTTTTTCGCCACTGCTCTAATTGGAAGTACCCATAGGATACCCATGATCAACCTCCATCATAGAATGAATGTCCACTGAAATAATCGGCTGCCCTTGAAAAACTGATGGAAGTGAGTACTTTATTATGGACTTCAAATACAGTATATAGAAGAAGCAAGTTGCAGAATCCGTACTTAATAAACACAAGTAGAAAAAAGTCCGGTAATCAACCAATGCAGCAAAACGAATAACAGGCCTCAGCCATATCAGTACGAGATAGTAAAAAGTAACAAAAGTATTCTGCGTGAAAAAATATTAAACAGAAAATCCGATCTCGGAGTCACGTACTGCAAATCTGCTTGTAAATAACCGTTTGATACTCATTCAAGGCGGTGAATGACGCATTCGTCGGTTGAGATGCCAGGGTGTTGGAGTGCAGGAAGTAACATTTACTGTCAAATGGGCAAAAACCAGCGCGTACAAAGTTGGCGCACATCCTAGTGCGATATTTCGGGTGAGCTTGTGGGTGTAACAATTCCTCAGGGCCGTGGGCAAAATGACAGTTTTCTCCCAACGGACATAGCCTGTTTCTCCGATAGTGCAAACAGGGTTGAGTCTTGTATCGGGTATTATATATAGCATCCTCCTTCCGAGGAACATGTTGGTGCTTTTGCGGCAATGCATACTTGGAGAGACACTGGCTTCCACTCGTTTGATAACGATCAATGAGGCGAGGCTCATAGTAAGTTGGCTGAAGCGTGCCGTGGGGTCGGAACAGCGGATTGGGTTTGACGACCTGTAACGGAAGGCATGTTAAAGCATCACGGCTGTAGGCAACATCGGTTTTGAAAGCAAAACGCTCTGCCAAATTCCGTCTCTTCTCAAATAAAGCAATTGAAGGATGATAGAGGTTCACACCTTTTTTACACGATGTAGTCGGCCAATGTGGGTAACTAGTCTTCTGAATGTCACTTTTCTCAATAAGCTCAGATTCCCATTTCCTCAGATCGTTGAGCACAGTTACCCTGTGCATGGCCCAGGTATTTTCCACATCCGACTCTGGTTGCTCGTAGAGTGGCGTACATCTGCATTGCGCCATAGTAGTCCGAAACGGTGTAGGTTGAATAACGGTTGATGCACGGCTCACCGCGTACAAACCGGCGATCTGCTCACCAGCGATTTAGCCTGTTTGTCGACATCGGTTCAAGGTCATGAAGCACCACCCTCCCATTGGTGCACTTGACGGCATGACGCCTCCGTTCGTGAATGGAGAGGTCGCGCGCCTGCGGATTACCCAACCAGTGATCGCAAATCAGGAACGCGGTTGACGGTTTGTTCTGGATAGTGAAACTCCTGTCGCCACAGCTATTTCAAACTGTACCGATCATTGACTATGCTTGCTCCCATTGCGGCTTGCGTCATCCCTAGTATCCTCAGCTATTTGGACATCGTTTTGATAGTCAGGAACCATTATCCTGATCGAATTTGTTAATTCATGCTTGTTTATACTGCTTCTACAGTGTGTCAACGCTTATTTGGAGGTTCCTTGATATAACTGAGTTAAACGAACAGCGAATGTGGCAGAATGGCTATTGTGTTTCGAGCAGTGAATCGATTCTTAGTCACACAGTCCGTTTGTGCCTTATTAATCGTAAAAAATGCTGCACCCCGAGCCTTTCTGAATGTTCACCAAGGTTTGATAACGAGGTGACGCGTTCATCAAGACACAGTTCACTGTAAGTCCAGTGTGTGAGGCTGAATACTTAACACAGATAGTTGCATACAAGCTTAAGAAATACTGGCGATGTTGGGAGTCAGCTGAACGGATGGAGTCCGTTTGAAAGGACTTGGTTTCAACGAAGCGTATTCACGTTACTGCCCGGCTTTGACGCGGTTAAAGCAATGGTTCTCATCCTGGTGCTAATTAACCCCAAGCGGGTAAAATGGAATTTTTTACGGGGACAAATATAAGTACGAGAATTAGGTCATCGACCTGTCGCCAAAAAATAGTAATGATAGAAGCATCTGTAACAACCAGTAACTAACTACCTACACACTATTAATTAGCCATTGTTGATTAATATTAACTGAGTGGTCAGTGAGTTAGAAAATCTTCATTAATAGTTTATTGCCTAAAATACGAGTACAAGCCTGCAAAGCACTACAGCTAGATACCGCCTCTATCGGTACTCTGGTTGATCGTAGTTATTATGAGCGAATATACAACCCATCCAAGAAACGATTAGTCGCTGACCGTTTATTGGTCTGTGTAAACTCATTTGCTTCATCTATCCAATCTAACACACCTTTAGTCTCAGAGAAGCTCTCATGCATGTACAAAAATGCCCAAGGTCTACTCAGCAAATTAGCTGAATTAAGAGTTCGACACGCGTCTGCAGCTTGGGACCTCATTGCTGTCACCGAAACATGGTTGCGCTGCGAGATAACGGATGTTGAAATTGCGCTAACGTGTATGTCCGTTGTCCGGTAGGATCAAACCAGCAAAGATGGTGGGGTGGCCTCTAGTTGCGTAACAACCTGCAATGCGAACCCATAAGCGATTCGGAAACCGATGTACCTGACTCCATCTGGTGTACTTTCCGGCAGAGAGGGAACGATCTTGGCCTATTGTTGTTGTTGTTTATCGCCCACCATCGTCTACTCCTGAGATGGATTGCAATTTGATGGCTGCGTTGAGGCAAGTGATAAACAGGGAGTACAATCACATTCTAGTCACCGGTGACTTCAACTTGCCCTGGAATCCCGGGCCACACCAGGAGAGCAATTCAAAGCAAATTTGCAAGATCTGGTTTCAGACTACCCTCTTTATGGCCACCTCACTACGCCCACCAGATTCAGGGGAACTGACAGGCCATCCATGTTGGACCGAATATCCACCAATGAAGAATTGATGGTAGAGAGAGTGATAACCGATACTCCTTTGGGCCGCAGTGATCATGCGACGCTATTGTTTCACCACATGTGCTACGCGGATTATCCTAAAATGCCGAGGAACATCATGTCGTAACCAACTATGACGACCTGTCCGACGTCATTGATGCAACCAGCTGGTCGTTCTTAGCTGAATTAATCCCTGAGGTGGCCTGCGGACAATTCGTCAACAAATTTACCAAGCTCATGGCAAGGACATCTGAAACCAAACTCTACCGGCCTAAAAAGAAGAAGTCCATCGTAAGGAGCAGGACACGTAAATGCGTGGCATTAAGACTTGGCATGGCACACCTACATAGCCTCCCTGAACGACGATACCTGGGATGTTTACACAATACAAAGGAACCACTGTGTCAAACTCGTCCGGGAGGATAAACTTAGGAGGCAACAAGATCTAATAGAAAATTTTTGCTCCGATACCAAACTGCTATGCGGACACATAAACCATTTGCGCCGTGTTAGGCGCGGTATTCCTGCTCTGCACACAGCATGCGGGTTAGCCTAAACCGCACAAGAGGCGGCCAACGTCTTTGGACAACAATGTGACTGTACCTTCCAAAGCGCGCAATCATCCTATATTCTGCCTAAGCAGGTAACGCAGCCATCAGGGCTTAATCACATATCGTTCACCTCCGCAGCTGTATTGAAGAGGCTGATGTTGCGCGTTCAGCTCCCCGGGTGCGGACGGCATTCGCCCGAAGGCGTTGAAAGTTGCTGCCATGAGTCCGTCAAGACCATTAGCAACTTTCTTTGAACGATGTCTGAACGAGATGCACGTCCCCACGATGTGGGACCACGGAATCATCATGCCTATCTACAAAAGTGGTAGGCGTGTTGAACCAACAAATTATCGCCCGATAACACTAATTCCTGTGATCTCCAAGGTTATATATTCCACTGTAGGTGAGGCTTTGATGGGGTACCTGAAGAACAACAAAATGCTCGTTCCGGAGCAGCATGGATTTCGCCAAAATCCCTCCTGTACAACTAATCTCTTGATTGCTCGTGCATGTTGGAAGGAATCTGTGGACGCTGGTGTAGGAGTCGACGCGGCCTACCTGGATTTCTCAAAGGCATTCGACCGTGTAGACCATCGCATTCTCCTCCACAAACTCCAGAAATACGGCATCGGCGATCCTGTTCTGAGCTGGATAGGAGACATCCTCGTGCAACGTCACCTGAATGGGAGGGTTGGAAGCAACCTGTCGGAATCCATCGAAGTTCACTGCGGCGTACCTCAAGGCTCGGTACTTGGACCACGCCTGTTCCTGGTTTTCATAAATGATCTCGCAAGCGTGCTATCTTCTAACTGTTTGTTATTTGCTGATGACCTAAAGGTATGGCGCACTATAGCTGCAGTGGAGGATCACACAGTGTTACAGTAGGAACTGGACAAAGCGTACACATGGTCCATGGAGAACATGCTGCATTTCAACGTCACCAAGTGCAAAGTTCTCAGTATACGGCACAAGAGTATGTACAAGTACCGCCTAGGACCACAAATTCTACAGCGGGCTTCTCACGAGTGCGATCTCGGTGTGATTGCTCAAGATGACCTCGGTTGTTCGAGGCAGACTGAAAAGGCAGCTATGAAACCGAACCAGTACTCCGGCCTTCTTCGCAGAGCCTTCAGGAAGTTTGACCTTCGATCTTTCCAAAAATGCTTAGTGCGTACGTGAGGCCGCACGCGGAATACGCTATTCAAGCGTGGCAACCCTGGCTCAAGCACCATCTCACCGCGTCGATATTGCACAACGTAGGGCAACGAAGAGCGTCAGAGGTTTGACCAGCGTCCCCTACCCACTCAGGCTGAAGACCCTCAAAATCTACAGTGGACGTTATCGGCGGCTAAGGGGCGATCGCATAATGGTGTACCAAATCCTGAGAGACCCCAACCACCCATGCCATTCCCTTCTAGTACTTAGTCAAAACACCTCGCTAAGAGGTCATCGGTTTAAGTAGGTCACGCAGTACATTCGCCTGGATTGTCGGTGAAACTATTTCTCCCTTCGAGTGGCACAGCCTTGGAACGCCCTCTCGGAACATGTAATTAATGCACCCACCCTATCCCTTTTCAAAAAACGACTTGACGGTACTCTGTCACATTTACACTACGTGCTATAGCCCATGAGCACCAGATGCTGGCACTAATGCACAACAGACAGTGGATAGTGCCATAACCCTACTCGTGAATGAGTCACTCCAATCGTCTTGCACGAAATTTGATAAACGCTACTACTAAAGAAACTGGATTTCTGTATTCCGTCGACCCAAAGTAGTTGCACACGAGTGAGCGTTGTCTTTGCTATCTTTTATTTTTTCTCACCAACTACGTGATCAATAACAACTTCCCTTATTGCTTTGTGTGCGTACATTCTCATTTCAAACTCCCTTTATACGATAGTGCAGCTACATCTGTAAGCGCCGGAACTGATGACTCCACTATCCCTTCTCTACCTTTCTTTGTCACGCTGAACACCCTACGGGATATCTCAAGCGCCTGCATTTTTACCCGTTATAAATCATTGTGCATTGTTCATTGAGTCGCTTTTTAATTATATATAACTTGCTCAAAGTAAGTAATTTATTTAGTTATTTGCTTGAAACTAATACAAATATATATATTTTGCTTAATTTGAAGCGCGTGCAATGTTAATAGGTAATTGGCTCTTTAAACTAGACATTTTGTGCGGTAGTTTTTATGGTGAACACGCTTTGTGGGTAAAAGACTCAAAAAGGTTGAGGTCCATTGGATTAGAGAATGCACATAATGACGCCAGGCTTATTAGATCGGGCTATCACTCTTTAGGCAGATTTCTTTTATATACTACAGTCTTTCTACCATTATTTCATACATTTCGTATATGTATGCAGCAAGATATAAGTGTTACGTGGGTATTGGTACAAACGAACTTTTCTTGCATTGGTATCCTGACTGTTGCAATCCTTCTTACCTAGAAATCTTCAGAGGAAGCAAGTCAGCACTTTTGCCTCCTTCATAGCGTGTTCGGGAAGTTCGACGTCTCAGTCTTTCCGAAAAGGCTTGATGCGTACGCGGAGCCGCATGCGGAAGATGTTATCTAAGCTTGGCAATCCTGGCAGAAGCACCACCACAACGCCCTGGATAGAGCACAAGGCGAGGCGACGAAGTACGTCAGAGGTTTGTGCAGTTTTCCAGAAACAGTCAGGTGGAAAACTC